GCAGTAATAGCAATAATAGTAGCAGAAGTAGAATCAGAAATTGTAGCAACAGTAGCAGTATAAGTAGAAGAAATAGTAGTAGCAAAAGCAGAATCAAAAATAGTAGAAGTAGTAGAAGCAGTAGTAGCAGTTGCAACAACTCAAAAATCCAAAACCACCGAAGGTCAAAAGTATTCCACAAACATAAATAAAATGCAATCGCATATAAAAAATAAAATTTAAATATAACACTTTACTTGCGCAGACGAGTTATGACACGTTATACACGAAAAATGTATTTTACATATACACATACAATTATAAAGCATTATGTATGTGTAATTCTCGGTATATACGTACAGGTGCATTCCTAACGGATGAGAGTGTATTCACACCAACATGATAAATTTGCAACGTGTGCAGCGCACGCCCATCGGTTCGACCAATCACAATTCTTGACGTCACATCGTACGATGTAACGGAGACAGTCACCCACGTGGTGAGTCTACTTCTTCTTTGCACTCGCTATTTTTGTATCTCGTTAAATGGAGAAATTTTTACAACACATTCACGCTCTCTTCATCATTCCAGAATCATCTTATAATAATATTCTTGTCGTAATCTTCTTATTCTTTTTGTTTCTTTTTTTCTTCTTATTTTCCATTCATGCTGGATCAAAATTCTATACATATGTGTATATATAAATTATCAAATAACCTGTTTCTCGTATGTGTCTTTCCCGGCGAGTTTCTCAACCAGCTGTTGATCATTGAATGAAAGTGACCAACTACGAAGTTTCCTTATATAAAAAAAACGACGCATAGCGTTGGAATTTTGTAATTCTCTGTAGTGGGAATTTTTGTTTAGGATTTATTGAGTGTGGTTTTTGGTTTTGGGTGGAATAATTTTTGGTTTGCTTCTTTTTACTTAATGTTTCATTCACCAATGAATAAATGGTAATTAATGGTATTTGTTGAACTTTTGAGTGATTTTATTGGTAGCAGTGTCGTTCAAGGTTTCCATTAGCACCAAATTAGGAAACCTTAAAACAAACTGCAATTAAAGTTGCTGCGGTTGTAAATTTGTTCGAAAGAATTGGGATTAACACTTGTTACCAAAACTATTGCTACCATCAACAATCAATATTGTTGTGATAATGGTATCAACAAATGGTATCACTTATTAATAGTGGTGCCAACAAATAGCAATATTTATTCATACTGGTACCAACAAATGACAACAGTTATTAATAGGAGTACCAACAAAAGGCAACATTTTTTAGTGGTACCAACGAAAAGCAACGTTTATTAATAGTGGTACCAAAAAATAGTAGCATTTATTAATAGTGATACCAAAAGTAGTACCTTGCATTAATAGTGGTACCAATAAGTGGAACCTTCAGTTAATAGTGCTACCAACGAATGACAACATCTGTTAATGATGTCATCAATTTGTAGTGGTCCCAATCAGTGGTAACTTCCCTTAATATTGGCACGCACAAATAACAACATCTATTAATAATAGCTTAATTTAAAAGTGCTTCTAATCATTGGTAACTTTAAGTAATAGTGGTTCCAAAAAATGGCACCTTTAATTAGTAGAGGTACCAATAAGTGGTGCCTTCAATTAATAGTGGTACAAATGGTAGCATTTATTAATCGTAGTTTTTATTAATAGTGGTACCAATCAGTGCTAATTTTACTTAATCATGGTTCCAACTGGTATTACCTTCAAAAAATAGTATAACCAAATTAACATCAGTGATAGCAGCAATTTGTACTGGTACCAGCAAATGACAACATCTGTTATTATTAGGCTTTAATTAATAGTGACTCCAATCATTGGTAACATCAATTAATACTGGCACTAACAAGTGGTACCTTAAATTAATAGTGGTACCAACAAATTGTACCACTAATTATTAACGGTACAAACTAGTGGTACCGCTATTTATTAATGGTACCAACAAGTGGTACCGGTAATTATTAATGGAACCAACAAGTGGTACCGGTAATTATTAATGGTACGAACAAGTGGTACCGCTAATTATTAATGGTACCAACAAGTGGTACCGGTAATTATTAATGGTACCAACAAGTGGTACCGGTAATTATTAATGGTACCAACTAGTGGTACCGGTAATTATTAATGGTACCAACTAGTGGTACCGGTAGTTTTTAATGGTACCAACTAGTGGTACCGGTAGTTTTTAATGGTACCAACTAGTGGTACCGGTAATTATTAATGGTACCAACAATTGGTGCTGCTAATTATTATTGATACAAATATTAATTGAAAGTATCACGTGATGGTACCACTATTAATTAAAGGTACCACTTATTGGTACCATTAGTAATAGTAATGGTACCATTAATAATAGTAATGGTACCATTAAAAATAGTAATGGTACCATAATAGTAATGGTACTAATAAGTGGTACCTTTAATTAATAGTAAACTGCTTTAATTCCATTTTCAGCATATTTCGAAATTAGAATACGAATCTTTTTAACATCCCTCTCAAAATTTTTCCCATTCCTCGTATTATAAATTACATAATAATTAAGTTAAGAAAAATTTTTTTTATCTTTTTCGTAGAATTTATTGTTTCATTAGATATGCTCCGATTAGATTTTTCTTCTTTTTCCATACATCATTCGTCTTGAAAAATATATACGTGGCGCATAATATGTATATATTTATATATATTGTGTATGTGTGTACCATGATCGTATATTAGATAAAATTGGACCTACTTTTTAATGGAAATAACTGAGTTATAAATTTCGTGGCTCAGATTGAGTGCGATATTTACATTTTCATTGAAATGTCTTTTGCGTGTAGATGTTTGTACGCTTTTGTGCCAGAATTTTACACGCGAGATTGATAAAAGATGCAACATTTCAATCGTATATTGTAATCTTGACGTCGGATCAAAATTGTATCCCTCTCTCTTTCTCTCTCTCTCTTTCTAAATTTCTTTTCCTTTCTCTCTCGCTCATTCACTTTTAAATTTTATACTGTGTCTTGATTTTGAAATTAAATTAGCGAATTATTCCGCGAAACAGTGCCACGTGTACTAAATGTGTATATGTATATGTGGATATATACACACAAGGAAAGAGTAAATAAAAACAAAATATTATATACGAGGAAAAAGTGTCGCATCACGTAATTGATATTATGAATCTTAAAAAAAGAATTGTCAAGTTTGACTAATGAATAAACATCATATTCGGTAATCGTCATTATTATTACTGATTGTAAGTAAAAAGGAAACTGAAAATTTCTTTTTTTTTAATTTACGAAAAAAAAAATGCTTCGACTTAATTTTCAACAGTGAATAAAAATTTATTTGATTCAAATAAATTAATTGTCTATTATCAAATAAATATTTTCTTGTATCAAGTAATTTTTATTTGAGTCACTTAAATTGTATTTGCTTCAAATATATTTAATATATTTGAAGCAAATACAATTTAAGTGACTCAAAGATGATTTATTTGAATTAAAAAAACATTTGAAAAACATTTGAATTATTTTTTGATAAAAATTAATTTAAATTTATATTAAATTAATTAATTTAAGTATTACTTAAATTATTAAAGTTAATATTATAAAATAAATTTTTTTTATAAAAATAGAACATAATCTATAAATTAATATTGGATAATATAATTTTTTCCACGTGTAACGAATTTCGATATGAAAAGGCGAGAAGGGTGTTATAAATATTTTTTAAATTGACATAATTTGATATATTTTTATTATAGTATATTTTATACTGTATAAAATATTAAATTACAAGTATATTAAATTATAATTGTATTCCATTGCAACTGTATACGGAGAGAATATATTAAATTTTGTAAAAATATTTTACAATTTGGAGAAAAAGTGCAACAAACCGAAATTTTAATATAGATAATACTAAACTGTGAAAGAAATGATATAGTAAAGTTATATTAAAATTTAATTAAAATTTCACAGAATTTTTTTAAAGTTTAGTATTTTTTATATAAAAATTTCGCTTTGTCGACTTTTTTCCCCAAATTGTAAAATACTTTCACAAAATTTGAAATATATTTTCTCTCCGTGTAGTCAATTATAATTTTATTGAATTGTAATTGAATTGAAATATAATTTAATTGAATTATAATTTTACTAAATTATAATTATATTGAATTATAATTTTACCAAATTATAATTATACTGAATTATAATTTTACTTAATTATAATTATATTAAATTATAATTTTACTAAATTATAATTATATTAAATTATAATTCTGCTAAATTAGAATTATAATTATACTAAATGATAATTATATTATAATTACTACAATTGTATTAGATTATAATAATAATTTATAATTACAGATTAAAATATAAAAAATACGAATTAATTTCTGAGATAATAGTGGGAATTTTCTTCAAAGATAAAATAATTGACGGTTAGGTCAGTTTTTGTCTGATTTGGTAAAAAAAAATTCTTCTATGAATTAGAGATAATAATCGTAGTAGATGCGTGAAGGATGATGCAAATATAAATTGAAAGGTTCCAAGTTTATCGTCAATTATGTCATGAAATTGCTTCCACAAACACTTTTCTGGCGAGAGGGAGAGTTGTTGAGACGAGAGTGACTTTTTTTCACAGCTCGTCTCGTCTGCCGATAAGGCAAGGCCACTAAACGCTCTTCACGAACAGGAAAAATATTCACTGATAAACAAAAAAATTATAACATCCAGCCGATGAATTATAATTCACAAAACTCGTGATTTCAATTCGTCATATATTCAAATTTCCCGCGTCTTTTTTTTTTACTTTTTCTTTCCAAAGAATTTTTTTCCGAGAACAAAATTTAAAAGTTTGAACTTGAATCAAAGTTTCCCCTTTGCAAAAAAGAAAGAAAAAGAAAAAGTTTTTTTGAATTGTAAGGAAAAGAACTTTTTTTTTCCATTTTTGCAAAGTTGAACTCGCGCGGTTCGGAGGAAAAGAAAAAGAAAATTAAAAATTCTCACCAGAATAGAAAGCGGTCAAAAGCAACGCGAACCAGGATGAATTCTGTCTCTCCATCAGATTACGCATATCTTCTTTCTCAAAAATAATCTCTCCTTTTATTTTTTTAGTTTCTGCAAAAAAAGTATTTTCCAAAATATATGAAAATTTGTGATAATTTCAATTCCCGCCACTTGTGATAAACAACACGTTTCAATATTTTGTTTTTTCAAACTTTCAAATTCCCACAAACACACACATAAACACACACAGACACTTTGAAAAGTGGTCAAACTTAAAGAATTTTTGTCTTTCTTTTTCTTTTAAGTATCAACAACTAAAAAAAAAGGAAAAACTTCAGATACCGGTGAAGTGATTAACAATCCGGTTGAAAGACAAACTTTTTTTTATTTATTTATTTATTTCAAAACTTGTTAATTTTTAATAATTGACAATATTTTGTGAAAAAATAAATTTCTTTTACACACAGATTTCTTTTTTTTATTGTTTTGGTTTTTTTTTTATTAATCAAGTTCCGTCATAAGTTTCTTTTTGAAAAGAAAACACACTCTGTGAAATTGATAACGAATATTTCTCGCGTATCATTCACAACGGACGGCCGTTCACGACTAAAACTCTGAAACTCGCGGAACGTGATTTTGGCGGCAGACAGCTTTGAAGAAACTTAAGTTTATGCGCATGTGCGACGCTCACGCCACTTTATTCCCTCTGCCCTCCTGCAGTCCCCCCCCCCCGCTACAGACCTCGTCCCTCTTGTTACAGAACCTCTTACCTTCCCACCTAAGCCGGTCATCGTGCGCCTTTCTACCCCCCTTCTCCTCTTTGGCATGTATGTATTCTATATGTGTATTTATTTTCTTATATTTATTTATTTTCTGGAAAAAGTTATTTTTTTAGATTCAAAATTGGTGAGAAATGAAAATTTCTTGGTTAAAAATCGAAATCGATTGATATTTGTATTGTTTTTGAGGATGAAAAGGGTGAAGAACAGTTTCGAATGTATTAGAAAAAGTTTGATATTTTTCAGTAGCATTTGGTTCCGTGGTTAGAGCGCCGGATTTGTAATATTTGTTTCTGGGTTCGATTCCGGGTAGAGGTGGATTTTTCTGTTGTGTTTTTTCCACTTGTTTTTCAATTTTTTTCAATTTCATAGAATAAAAAATTGATTGTCAGTTAATAAATATTAATAATTGGGGAAAATTGTTATTAATTTATAAATAACTAATTGGAGTCTATACTAATAGTTATTTTGTAATAGTAACAATAATAAAATCGAAAAAATAAAATATAATACAGAAAAAAACGTTCTTGAATATATTATAAAAATTTTTATAGGTGTTCAGTATTTTTTGGCTCCGTGGTTAACGCACCAGACTTCTAATATTAGTTTTCGAGTTCGATTCCCGGTAGAAGTGATTTTTTTTGTTGTGGTTTTTCGACTTTTCTTTCATTTTTTCATAATTTCATAGAATAAAAATTGGTTGTTAATTAATAAATATTAATAATTGGTGAAAATTGTTATTAATTTATAAATAACTAATTAGTTATTATACCGGTAATTAGTTATTAGCTAATACTACCAATATTAAAGTGAAAAAAATATAAATAAAAGTTTAAAAAAGGGAAAAAAAACTTTCGATTGTATTAAAAACGTTTTTTATATTATTAAGTAATGTTTGGTCTCGTGGTTAACCAGCTGGATTTGTAAAATTAGTTTCTGGGTTCGATTCCTAGTAATTGTGGATTTTTTTGTTCTATTCTTTCAAATTGTTTTAGAATTCTAAAATACAAGTTGTTTGTTAATTAAAAAATATCACTAATTGGGGTGAATTGATTATTAATTTATAAATAAAAATAATTAATCATTGTGAAATAATACTAGTAATTAGTTTTTACGTAATAGTATCAATAATAAAATAAAAATGTAAAAATAAAATATTTAAAAATAAATAATAAAAAAATATAATAAAACTTTTTTTTTCTGTTAATTTCGTAGTAGATTTCCATTCACCAATTATTGGCATTTGCTTTCATAACATTGTATGCGTCCTTTAGATATTCATAGCGCACAAGGAAATCGATGTTCAAATTGAAAGATTTCCTTGAAATGAAAATTCTTTCCTCTAAAAGTGAAAAATCTTTTTTTGACATTATATAATATTAGAACTACTTTTCCTTGTATAATGAGAAAACATCAAATGACTGTTATTTACAATCACATATATACGTATATATAAGAGCCACATAAATTTAAATTTATATCTTTGATTTTTTTATGACAATTTTTTTTTCCCTGAAATTTATAGTTCAAAGAAAATTTATTATATATCGTTAAGTAATATATGATTATTATATCTATCAGTAAAATTAATTTTTAAAAAATTTTACCAAAAAAAAAAAAATTTATTTTTACAGGGAGGCGAACACGGGAACGACTCCAAGGAACAATTCGGCACGCTAACCACGGGCCTAACTTTCACTCACAATCGCTATTATGAGAAAGTAAGTTTTTATTACATTATTAAGCATCTTTTATTTGTTTTTCATCATAATTATTATTCCGCTGATTGAAATTATTATTTGAACCTCTGTCACACTTGACTATTAATTATTAATTATTAATTATTAATTAACTTCTTATTTACTAACTACTCTATTTAATTCAATTCTAATCTCGATTTTAATTATATCAGTAATTTCATTTTATTAATGGAATTAGTATTAGCTTCATTTTATAAAAATAATTTAAATTAATGCGGAATAATAATTATTATTATGATAATATCAAACAATTTACCAACTTAAAAAAAATGTATTATTTTACATTTGGAAATGAACTATTTTTCTCAGTCGCAAAATTTCGGAGAATCATGTAATTTGAATACAATTGCAAAAAAAAAACAGTTTAATATGAAAATTAACCAACAACCTATAGTTTAATTGTCAACTTTATTGGAGTTATTATTTAACAACAAAGTAATTATCAGTGATTCATATGGTCAACAACAAGTTAATTGGTATTTTACTAAAACGTGATCAAATCTCCTTTTAGTATATAATGGAGGAAGCAAATTTTTTCATCATGTTTATAAACTGCTTTTCAATTATGACTAATACGCTCGCGTGAATTAATTTGTGTTTTTCAAAAAATTCATAAAACGTTTAAAATCTTTTTTTTACTATGGAATTTTACAAATCAATTTTTTTTTATTTTTCGGAAAAATAATAACAATTGTAGTGATAATAACAATAATATTAAAATGATTATAATTTATTAACTATTGGTATAAAATAATAATAGCAATAATTATTATTATAATTATATTACTATTATAATTTTTTTTAATTGATTTTTTCAAATCAAATTTTTTATTTTTCGAAATAATATTAATAATAATAATAATAATAAAAATAATAATAATAATAATAATAATAATAATAATAATAATAATAATAATAATAATAATAATAATAATAATAATAATAATACTGGATAATAAAAAAATAATAATTATACAAGTAAATATTTTTGTTTTGAAATAAATATTTACTGCGAACTAGAGAAATATTTTATTAAATAAAAAAATTAATTTATATAGAAAAATGTGCTAAGAACGTAAAACGTAACAAATATCGTCAGAGAAAATTTCTGTGGAAGAAAAAACATTCGATTTGACGTGTCTTCTTTATTTTACGTTTCTGACTAATCGTATGATCGACTGACGTTGTCATAAACATTTATACATGTTTATACATATATACATATATAGTATATACATATATTTGTTTTAACCACGTGTTTCTTTTATTCATAAGACACGAGAGCGTGAAAAAAATTTTTTTTTTTTTTTTTTTTCCCAAAGAAAAAAAAGTTTTCCTGCCGAAAAAAAAGTATGTTCACCGATAAAACTAAATTATTCAAAATAAATGAGAATAGAGAACATTTTCTTTATTAAATAAAATTTCTTTTCTGATAGAAATTTATAAGAATTCAAATGTAATATGAATTTATAATCGAGAATTATTCATTTTTTTATTTTTCTTTTATTTTTTTATTTAAAAAAATTTTTTTTTTTTTTATTTTATTATTGTTTTATTTTTATTGTATTTTATTTTTATATTCAATTTTTTCATTTTCTTTACTATTTTTAAATTGTATAGTATTTTGAATTAATAATTTCGGAACTTGATAATTTGTTTTTTTAAATTTTAGCATATTAAAGGGAGTAATAATTTTTATAATTAAAACTTGGCAATAGTTTGCTTTTTTTCTATTTTTCGTTATCAACTTTTAACCCCTTGACCCAATAATAATTACGTATTTTTGTCCAAAAAGAAGAATGACGCATTTGAGGCAAATTAAATTATGAAAATAGAAGTTTATGTCATTAATTTTTCTTTTTTTTTGCAATTTTCACTGTAATTTATAGTAAATTTCGTTATACGTAACAAACTAATATAAATAAATTTACTCAAAATATTGAAATTAAATTATAATTTAAACTTAAATTGCATGAAGAAATTAAATGAAATTATTTATAAATTTATACTACGGTTTATTATTCATTATATTAAATATATTAAATATATTAATATTGTCAAATAATAATTAAAGTTAAATTTATTTCGTACAGGGACATTTTTTCTTGCAATCATTATTACGATGGGGAGAATTTAAATAATGAAATTGTATTATTTATTTATTATTCATTTATTAAATTTTATTATTAAATATTTTTTACTAATTTAATTGATTTACAGACGAATTCACTTACTTTGTTCAAGAATATTGCAAAAATATTACAAAATTAAATTAGAAAAAAAAATTTTAAGTGTTATTTACTGTAAAAAATTTACAAAATCGAGTTGCATTCAGACAGGTTTCACTGTATTCGTAAAAATACGCGAATTGAGAGTTATCATTCATTACAATAAATTTTTTATTTAGTTTAATTTATTTTTCTAATAAATTATAGAAAATTATTTATTATTATTATTAATTTATTATTATTATTATTTTTTATTTCTAAATAATAAAGTAAATTATTTATTTACTTATTCAGTTAAAAAATAAAATTGCTAAGAGTTATTATTTTTTTATAATAAATATTCAAATTTAGATTAATATATTTTTGAATTAGTTTAAATTATAAAATAATAAAATTATTTATTTATTCTATAAAAATACACGAGCTAAAAGTTATTATTTATTTGACATACATTTTTCAATTTAATTTAATTTCTTTAAAAATCAATTGCAATATAAAGTATAATTAAATTAAAAGTATTTATTCGTAAAAATACACGTGCTGAGAATTATTATTTAGTACAACAAATTTTTTAAATCTAATTTAAGTTATTTTTGAAATTTAATTAAATTTAAAAAGTATTAAATTATTAAATTATTTTGTAGAAAAAATTATTTTTAAAACGAAAAGTGCTTTTCTCAATATTATTTAAATGGATTCGTTTTATCAGCTAAAAGTACTTTTCAATCGTCAAATATTAATACAAAACTCTTATAATATTAATCGATTTGAATTGAAACTTGAATCTATATATATAGATAAACGATAGTATATAGTTCGTTATTGCAATTGAGATCTATTTTTCCATTGA